ATGACAGTGTCTATAAAAGATGGTGTAAAGTATGATACAGCATTAGAGAACTAAAGGTAGTAAAAAATGTGGCATGAGGGAAGAGGCAAAGGTTTTGTAATATAGGGTTGTACAAGCTTCAGGTCTCAGATGTTTGCTAGGCTTTGTTTGCTTTAGAGCAGGCAAAAACTACTCTGAAGTGAGAGGTTGATCAAGATCTTTGGTCGGTTCAGGGAAAAGAATGGGCAGACCACTTTCTTGTAAGTATTATTGTATGTGATTAAGATAGGTGGTCAGCCCTGGAGGGGAAGCTGGTAGATTGTAACAAATCCCTGGAACTGAAATGTTATGATGGTAGAGTTATGGTATAGATTGCCTTGATGATCTCAGATAGAAATCATAATTTAGTTTTTCTCCTAGCAATAAAGACAAGAGGAAGAGAAGTAGCCAGGAGGAAGAGAAGGACACAACTTCTAATAATTTTATCATGAAGGTGCACTTATCATTTAAGCACAAAAATGAAGCATATTTTATCCTTTTGCAGTTTATGAACAATATAGTGTTCCTCTTTTACCCCAAACCACTCAGCCCACACCCAAAAATGATTTCCTTGCCAGATTGCACTAGTTAAATTTAAAGTACTAAAATTGGGCATTTATGAAATTTGATTTACATGGAGTTCCACCGTAAATATGTTATTTTAAAACAATATAATATTACCTAAAACTACTATTTTAGAATGTATATGCTGTTAAGTAACTAAAGATGTAGCAACAGCATGCATTGCTAACACAAAGCCTATTTTTATTATTTTAATGGATGCCCACTATTATTGCCTTATCCAGGGGCAACCATAATTTTTCATCTGGAGATCTACTTTTCAAATGACGAGCTCAATAAGATCTACCAACGAAAAAACACCTGCATTCAGGGGCAGGAGGGGAGCGTGGCGGTGCATTGAAGTCAATGGCACCGCAGCCAGGGCCCTCGTCCACAGTGTGATTGCTTGCACCCGGAACCCAGGCACATTACTACCTGCGTTCCGGTGCACTGCGATCCGCAAAAATGCTGCAAGCACTATTTTTGCCGACCGCACTGGACTGGAATGCAGGTACTAATGTGCCTGCGTTCCGGGTGCGGGCAATCGCACTGTGGGCGGTGGCATGGCTGCGGTGCCATTGACTTCAATACAACCCCCTCCCTCTCCCGCCCCTGAACGCAGGGAGTCGGCTGGCTTGCATTCCAGTGTGTCCTAGATACCCCGGCATCCTGTCCTCCAGCGGTGCTCGTGTGGCTGACGTTGCACATGGGACCCCCCCCCAACAGGCGTGTGATGTCACCCAGCGCCCTACCTCCAGGATTTTTTTTTATTATTATTTAAAAAAAATGTTTTAATTTTATTAATTTTTTTACTCTTGGGGGGACTTCGGGGAAATATTAGGGGTCTGAACAGTTCCCTGATATTTCCTTTTAAAATAGAAAAATAAATTGAGGATGCAAAGTCCTCAATATCATTTCTGCTGCCTCTATTCTAAATGAATGGAAAGCCCAGAGGCTTCCATTCATTCAGAAACTATTTACTATCATCCAGTTTTGAATGGGGAGGAGCCTCTGTACAATGCTACTCCCCCTTGAGAAACTCATGAATGAACAGGAAGTTATGTAAATCGCATCCTGTTCATTCGTAACTGGGGACACATAGTACTGTGTGTCCCCAGTTATTTACAAACACTGTAGTTATCAGCTGATCACTCCAGTGTTTGTCCTGCACAGAGGATTGGTACATATCACTGATATGTACCGATCCGGGGGCTCAGCTTCTCCTCTGGATCCCCGCTGCTCTCCCGGCAGAGGCAGCGTGGGATCCGAGGAGAAGTGAAAGAAGCACTTTAGCCGCGGGGCACTGGAAGAGGGAGCTATTGTCACAGAACTAAGGCCGAGCGGTCAGATCCTGGCCGAGCGTCTCTGTCTCTCCTCACCGCTCGGCCTTAGTTCTGTGACAGCGGCACCTTCGTTCACTTCTCCTGGATCCCCGCTGCATACAGATGGGAAGAAAAAAAGGGATCCAGAGGGGAATCCCCATGACGGAAGGACAGGACATCGCGATCTACCAGTGACCGCTACGCGATCGACCTAATGGGCACCCCTGCCTTACTCAATCTCTTCGCACACAGCCATAAAAATCACTTCTTATTGATTTGTTAAAGGCTTGTGAAAAGACACAGACCTGTAACTATAACAAAAAAAGCAAAATGGGAATTATCTCTACTAGCGGTAGCAAACGCCAACCCTCCAGCTGAGGTAAAACTACAAATCCCAACATGCATCTGCCTCTGGGAGCCATGCCTGTGGCTGTCAGAGTCATGCAATGCCTAATGGGATTTGTAGTTGCACCACAGCTAAAGGGCCAGAGTTTGCTGACCCCAAACTATACCATTCCAAACCCAATCATAAATCCCACCATTGTGGTAGAAAACAAGAACAAATAGAGTGTATGGTTGGCAAGCTTTCGCGCTATAAGAATGCGATGGAGCTTTGACTATCTAACAGCCTGTCATTCAGCCTTATCTGCAGACTTTTTGAAGCAGATTCCTTTAGGTGCTTGTACTTTATTCCTGCAGCAGTTTGTATGTTGTACTAGAGAAAGAGACTTTTTTTTAAAGATATTGGTACTAGATATAATATGAGTTAGAAAAAATTGGATAGCATTTTACCAGCCACTAGTGCAAAAATCTAGAAATCTCCATAGACTTTGGAAACTTTTCCACAATAACATCTTTACTATTAAAAAAAACATTTCTTTGAAAAGGAACTTGTAGCAGGTGCACTCTTAAATACGCCTTACTAAAAATAATGTAGGCATGAACTGAAACCTTTTCTATATCTCCTAATTATACTAGAGACAGTACGGAATCTTGTGAAGATTGCACCTGCCTGTACTCACAGGAGGCTTTGGTGGACATTCAAGGGAGTCTTTTTTTCCTCCCTTTGGCAAAGCCCCCTAAGGCAGGTGCAGTCCTCAGAGTGGAGCTCATTTTTCAATGAGAATGAATTATCTTAGACTTACTTGCTTCACATCTGCCTGTTAGATGCTCATTTTGTAGTATTGGAAAATAAAAGGGTTAATTTTATGTTTCTCTCCAAAATCCTTTAAGACACTAATCCTATATTTATGCTCTTCTGTCCTTGTCAAGAGCCTAATGAAATCTTTATATAAAAATGTGTTCACAACTGAACTATCAAATATACATGTACAACAGATCACCTTTACACATATATGTAATCAGTGGGTTTTTGGTGCTGCAAAAATGAACAATGTCCAAGCTCGCACTATGCAGAACCCAGCTGTGGATATGACAGCTAAATCCTGCACAGGGAAAGTTCATCTCTCCTAGGGTTAATCTCCAGAGTTACATTATCAATGTGACAGTCACCCCTTCTATATGAGGAACTCTGAGAGTGTGGCTCTCCTGGTGTAATCACCAAGTGGCATTCTCAATGTGACAGCCACCGCTCTATATCAGGTCCTCTGCCAGTGTAGCTCTCCTGGCATAGGCGTGTGCACAGGGTGCACCACCCCAAGTGCACCACCAAAACTGCAACAGTGGGCACCGTGTTTTTAGTAACTGATAGAGTGTAGCGGCACTTGCCGCTTACAATCCCCCCATAACAACCGCAGTCCTGGGTGTGTTATGTGTGATGTAAAGTAACCACAGATCCCAGCTCGCTCCATTGATGGACTACAATCTCATATTTAGTATACTAATTTGTATTGAGATTGTAGTCCATCACGTGAGCAAGCTGGGAGTGGTAAACAGTACACTTTATAACACACACACGGGGTCCATGGGGAACAAAAGTAGCCACCCTCCAGAAGGAAGGACAATGTCGGCAGCACCAATTCAAAGATGAACTCAGGATCTACTGCCGAGTGATACACAAATAAGATGCATTTTTTTAACAGTTGAGGTACTTAAACGCATTTTTAAGATTTAACACCTGAGTTTAGTGTCACTTTAATGGGATTGCTTGAAAACTGCACATAACTTGGGTTTTCATCTGTTTTCTTGCCTTGCTCAGCTCAAGGGAGAAAGGGAAAAAGAAACCAAAGCAACTGTATTGTATATTTCCATTATTCCATTATATTTCCAAGCCTTAGTGGATCCTGTTAACACCTGAGCTTCTTTTGGTGTAGAGTTACATGTTTTGGCCCCAAGAGACTTTAATGGGAGTGCTTGAAAACTGCACCGAACATGGGTTTCCATATATTTTCTTGCCTTGCTCAGCTCAAGTTTGAATGGGGCCTTAGAGGAAACCAAGGCAACTGCATCCACAAGGGTTGTACCATTGTACCAATCAGTATCTTTCTCTTCTGAAACATATAAGGCACCTTATCATCTACCTTTGATCTGATTTCACAAGTCCTTTTTTTATTTCTTGCCTATGAATGGCGACAGGTCTGTATGCAGATGGCAAGGCGTATGCGCTAAGCATAGAGACAGAGAGGTGTACTCGGCGGCAGGGACGGTGCTCGGCGCATGCGCACTAGCTGGGAAACGTCAGGCTATTTGACAGACAGCAGCGTTTGCAGATTTGCAGGACCATAGGGCGAGGAGGAGGTGGTGGAGCTCCGGAGCAGGCAGGGAGAAGCCGGTGCGATCGGAAGACGAGTGACAGGAGATGGATGCACAGTATGTCGTGTCTGCTGGATATCGGTAGGTGAATGATTTGTGATGAAGAGAAGCTGAGGAAGGAAAAGGCGAAGGTAGATGTGCACGGAGGACAGATCGATGGACTGAGTGAATAGCCGGTGAAAGGATCGAGGCTCGTCAGCGAGCAGAGGCAGCAGCAGGTTGGGAGGCAGCACGGATCCCCCCCATTGTAGATCTTATAATGATCGTGAGTGGATGTGATTTGCAGAAGTGATGAGGACTGGAATCGGATGCTGTAGCGCTGTTGTTGTGGCACAGCCTGGATAGCCGGTGGGCTGGAGGGGGGTCCCCCTGTCCCTGCAGCATCACATGGAGACTTTAAACGCTGAGCCCAGGCTGCAGAGCCATGCTGAGAAGAAGAGGCTGAACCGAGCACCTTCTCCTGCTAGACCCTTCCTAAGGGACTCCCACTCCAGGGCACCCCCTGCGAAACCTTCAGTGCTGCCCCCCAAGTCTCCCAACCTGGGCCACCAGTCCCCTGGGCAGCTAGCCACTCAGAGCCGCTTGTCCAGGCGCAGCGCTCCTGCCAAAGATAAGCCGAGCACGGCCAAGGCTAGCGCCAAGGCGGCACTGAGCAGCAAGAGGGCATCCAGGCCATCGCAGGGGGAGCCGAACAGCAAAGGGGGCACCAGGAGAGAGCTGCAGCATGCCCCCTCCTCTCCCCTGACTGCAGCAGGTAGAAGTCGCAGGACGGTGCAGAGATTGGAGAGCCCGGCTCCGGGGACCTGCCTAGTACGGCTCAGCCACACGGACAGCAGCTCAGACCTCTCCGACTGCCCCTCCGAGCCCCTGTCCGACGAGCATCGCCCCCTGCCAGCCCACAGCAGCGACAATGAGTCGGCCTCCAGCAAGCAGGTGGTGGCATCGGTGCCAGACATAGTTGTCATAGTGGGGTCGGAGAAGAGCCGAGCGGGATCGGTGAACGATGACGCCCGCGGAGCAGAGAGCAGCTCGGTTAAAAGTCCCGCACCGCCAAGCCAAGGACAAGAGGAGGACTTGCTCAGGGAGTTGGACGAGCTGCGATCGGAAAATGACTATCTCAAGGTAGGTGGGCGCACATCAGATGAATGGAGGGTTCAAGGGTCGGGCTTCTCCATGCACTGGGCAGAGCAAGGATCTCCATGCACTGGGTAATCAGGCTTCTCCATCCACTGGGTTGGGTGAGGATTTCCATGCACAAGGTAGGGCAATGATCTCCCTCAACTGAGTAGAGCAAATATCTCCATCTACTGGGTAGAGCAAAGAACTCCATCCGCTGGGTAATTGGGTTTCTCCATCCACTGGGTGGAGCAAGGATCTTCTTGCAGTGGGTAATTGGGATTCTCTATCCACAGGGTAGGGCAAAGATCTCATGCACAGAGTAGGGCAAGTAACTCCATACACTGGGTAGGGTAAGGATCCCCATGCACAGGGTAGGGCAAGCATCTCTATCCACAGGGTATGGCAAGGATCTCCATGCACAGGGTAGGGCAAGGATGCATCTCCATTCACAGGGTAGGGCAAGGATCTTTATTCATAGGTTAGGGCAATGATCTCCATCCGCTGGGTAGAGCAAGGATCTCCATACACATTGCAGTGCAAGGATCTCCTCCATGCACAGGGTAGTTCAAGGATCTCCATGCACATGGTAGGGCAAGGACCTTCATGCATAGGGTAGGGCAAGGATCTTTATTCACAGGTTAGGGCAAGGATCTCCATGCACAGGGTAAGGATCTCCATGCACATGGTAGGGCAAGGATGGATCTCCATTCACAGGGTAGGCCAAAGACAAGCCGAGCCCGGCCAAGGCTAGCAAGAGGGCATCCAGGCCATCGCAGGGGGAGCCGAACAGCAAAGGGGGCACCAGGAGAGAGCTGCAGCATGCCCCCTCCTCTCCCCTGACTGCAGCAGGTAGAAGTAGAAGGGTAAAGGGTAGAAGGTAGAAGAGGTAGGGTAAGGATCTCCATGCACAGGGTAGGGTAAGGATCTCCATGCACAGGGTAGGGTAAGCATCTCCATGCACAGGGTAGGGCAAGGATCTTTATTCACATGTTAGGGCAAGGATCTCCATCCACTGGGTAGGGTAAGGATCTCCATGCACAGGGTAGGGCAAGGATGGATCTCCATTCACAGGGTAGGGTAAGGATCTTCATGCACAGGGTAGGGTAAGGATCTTCATGCACAGGGTAGGGTAAGGATCTCCATGCACATGGTAGGGCTGAAATTCGGCCAGTGTATAGGCACATTTAGGTGGGCCTGTTTACATCAGGTGCATTGGGCAGCCTTGCCCAGCACAGTCCCACTGTGAAGACAAGGCAATTTTCCTTGTTTATAATGAGCGCAGATCACACAATCGTGCTGCAGTGGTGTGTGCTTAAAAAAAGCACGCAATACTTTTTTTAAGTGCAGAGTGCATTGACTCCACCACATCACACCACGCCGTGGGCGATAGAACTGAACAAAGTTTTACTTTTGACATTTCAATAAAGTTCCAGCAAAAGAAAAGTTGCAGTGTGATGCTCTGTATCCAGCACATTGGCATCACAGCTTTCACAGCACACATGGGCAGCTGTGTTCTAATAGGCCCTAAGAGTGTATGTAAACCTAACATCTATTTTCTGGAATGCTTAGTATTATTTTTCTCTCTACAGTTTTTTGCTGATCTGTTGGAAAATGTCTTACCGATAGATAAGGCCAGTAGCAGCTTTTCCTGCTTGAAGCTGACAACGCTAAGCTGCTACCTTATAACTAACAGCAGTGTTGTCAGCCTGCTATACACGCTCCTTAGGCCCATTTTACACAGCTGTACTGATCAGTTTTTAGGTGGATCTGATCGGCAGATGTAAACAGACATGCCTCAATTTACATGCAACCACCTCTGAGTCTGTTTAGGTCCACAAAAGGAAAGGAAAAGGTTTGCACCCTTTTTCCCCTTTTCTGGATCTAAACATGACAGATCGGAGGTATTAAGATGTACAGAATGCCTGCCCATAGACCTAACATGGGTCCATTAGGCTGACTGATTTGCTCTGTTCTGCTTCGATTCCGCAGGGGATCTATCTGTTCATGGATCAGAACAGACACTGCTTGTGTAAAAGGGCTTAGTTGGGTGGTGGACCTTTAATCAGGTTTGCAGGATCTTTAGGAAAGAAACTTTGTAACAGATTCTTGAAAAAAGTTTTTGCTTAAGGCTGGGTTCACACCTGGGCGTATGGAATATGCGCGTTTGGCGCGCGTTTTTAACGCGATTTGCAGTAAAAGAAAGACGTTTACAAGTGTTATCCGGCTGTATCCTAATGGATACGCGCGCCAAATACGCCCCAAAGAAGCTCCTGTACTTCTTTGGGCGTAGGGTGTTTTGCTGCGCATTTTGCAGCGCATTCCTACGCGCTGTAAAACGCCCAGGTGGGAACCATGCCCATAGGCAATAATTGGTTTTCACATGTTGAACGTTTTACAGCACGTAGGAACGCGCTGTAAAACGCCAAGGTGTGAACCAGGCCTAAAGGAGAACTATGAAGTGAGTGCTTTTCACTCACCTCATAGTTCTAGCTGACCTGTGACAATGAGACTGTCACAGGTCGGCTCAGCAGATCGGGAAGTGAGCGAACACATACCGGCGTTCGCTCACTTCTCGATCCTGTCACGGCAGAGAGCTGGATTCCCCCCTCCCTGCTCTGATCCTCCAGCGCTGACTGGTGGAACGGGAGGGGGAGGGGGCAGGTACAGCTGGCTCTGCCTCTAGACAGGCAGAGCCAGATGTCACTCACGCAACTGGGCGGATCCAGACATAATTGTCGGGATCCGCTTCAGCTGCAACGTCTCAGTATACCGCGAGCTCTAGCTCGCGGTATACTGAGCTTAGGGTGACGGGAGGACGCTAGTTTGTGTCCTCCCGTTACCCTAAGGAGAACTATGGGGAAAAGCCCTAACTCCATAATTCTCCTTTAAGTGATATGCAAGGCCTGATGCAAAACATACTGAGAAATAGATTCTGTGTTTACACTTCAATAACTCTGTGTGGAAGAACATTAATGATGTTTTGGAATAAGTATTATTTCACAGACTGTCCTATGACAACCTATTGTGTGGTGGACGAGTTTTGGTGAAGGTCATGTTTTTAAAATCAGAGGGTTAAAGGTTTTTTTTAGAAACAAGCATGGCAAATGTAGAGCGAGTGGCTTTCATTTATTTATTCATTTATTGAGTCTCCATTCAGTGAGCAGTGGTCCTGGAATCAGAATAAAGGTGGCCATATACTCTTCGAATTTCTGTTGTTCAGCCCCTGAAGGCAGAAGGAGGAAAATCCCCAATCCATGCTAAACAGTGTGGATGGAGGAATCCTGCCTGCTGGCTGTTGTATTCAGCAGCTACTGCTCCAACAGTTGCTGAATACCCAGACAGTGCATGCATCTGATACCCAAAGAAAATCGCACTCCCATATGCGGTATCACCATGTTTATTGGTAAAATCAAATGATAAGGAACTACTCACAATTGTAGCAGATAAAAGCGTTTTCTTAGTTTCTCCAAAAGAGATATAAATGTAAACATTCAACCAAACAATGAATACAAAGACAGTGGAGAAACGAAGAAAACGCTTTTATCTGCTACAATTGTGAGTAGTTCCTTATTTAATTTTACCAATAAACGTGGTGATGCCACACATGGGAGTGCACTTTTCTTTGCTTTTGTTTTGGTATTAGTGAGAGTTCTCCACAATCTGAATACAATGTATTTGGGAGATATAGAATGTATACAATGTAAATGTAATTGTATACAATGTAACGATAGGTTCGATCATTCATACTGTTTAGCATTGATGGAAGAATATGTCTTATTTTTTTCATTCAGGCTGAACATAAAAATATAATTGTGTGTACCCAACTTAAAGGTTGGTACACATGGAACGAATTTCAGCCGATTTGGAATCAAACAAAATGCGTTCTGTGGGTGGCCCTATTCCCGCAGTAGAAGGTTAATCAGGTCAGATAAGGGATGAACCTGTTCTGGAGATAACCTGTGTGTATGTCTGAGGTTTGGTGTTGGTGAACTTATCCTCCTTAGTTAATGAAAGATCTTGGACTTAGTGGCAGCACTTACACAAGATGCTTGTGTTGTTTTACTGAGGCATAAAGGCTTTAATTGTCTCAGGTGCCTCACCCAAAGTTTTCTACCTGGTTTTACTGAGAGGTACCTTTTACACAAAGGCGTGCTCACCCTTTACAAAGGCCAAAGTCCTACAGACATAATAGGTGAATATGTAGGATCTGCTTTGTCCTAGTCATTGTGCGTTGCAGAGATACATACTATAAAGTAAAAGAAGCATAAGGCTGTTGTCCACAGCAATCTGTCTGGTGTTTGCTTTTATTCTTTATCTTGTAAAGTAGAAAAGAAACAAGTGATCGGACTAGGTACAACAATCAAGCATTTGTATTTACAATTCTTTATACAGTGTTACTAGCTTACAACAAAACATAATGACATGTAACAGAAACAACGTGTACTTTATAACTACAAAAGTGAGCTTTTAAAAAATGGCAAGGCAAAATAAAAAGAAACATTTCCCCTTGTTTTATCTGTTTAAACACTGCAAGTACTGACAAAACACTGCCTGGCCCAAAAAAGTCACACACTCTAATATTTAGTTGGGCTTCCTTTAGCTTTGATTACGGCACACATTTGCCATGGTATCATTTTGATAAGCTTATGCAATGTCACAACATTTATTTCTGTCCAGATTTGCATTAATTTTTCACCAAGATCTTGTAGTGATGAAGGGAGAGTCAGACCACTGCGTAAAGTCTTCTCCAGCACTTCCCAAAGATTCTCAATGGGGGTTAAGGTCTGGACTCTGTGGTGGCCAATCCATGTGTGAAAAATTCTCATGTTCCCTGAACCACTCTTTCACATTTTCAACCCGATGAGTCCTGGCATTGTCATCTTGGAATATGTCTATGCCATTCAGGAAGAATAAATCCATTGCTGGAAAACCTGGTCATTCCTAGACATGTTATCCCATAGAAGGCTCTTACCTATTTGCTCAGCTAAATCCAGATGGTGACT